TGTTAGCCATCTGTATGTCTTCCTTGGAGAAATGTCTGTTCAGTTCTTTGGCCCATTTTTTGATTGGGTCATTTATTTTTCTGGAGTTGAGCTGGAGGAGTTGCTTGTATATTTTGAGACAGAATACAGTATATTACAAAGCTGTGCACTCCTTGATCTTGGTAAACTAGGACATGCTGTTCCATAACCAAATCCAGGAGGGAAAATGCACCATCTCATTTGAAGAATGCAAACATATTTAGTCAAATAAGAAACTGGCTCATTTGAGAGTTTTATAGCAAACAAGGACAGAAAGTAGTTTGCATAATTTTCTTATGCTCCTTTTATAGTGTTTATCTTTTATAAGGCTCTTTGGAACAGTTGCGAGCCACCTGTCAATAATGTGGCCTTTTATAGACTCAACCTTTTATTGTTCTCATGCCCTTGACATATAAAAAAAAAAAACAACCTTAGAAGGAGTCCGTGTTGAATATGGTGGGCAACATACTAATTTTAAATTTAAAAGACTGTCTTTTGTAGACTGAAATAAAGAGAGAGTTTTGAATGACATGAAGAGAATAGGCATGCTATGAAATCCTCTTTAGCAGGAATAAAAATAAATTCATTATTTTATAAACATTTTTTGAAAGCTAGTTAAGAATCATATTTAAAGCACTAGCCAGTAGAAAACTAAGCCACATAGAATTCATTTAAAGTTGTTGTAACAATTTTGGATAATTTTGCATCAGTTCCAAGTGAAAATATTTGGACTGTGAATCTAACAATTACATAAATATTTTGTATATGTAAACAGTTGTTGAAACTTCTTTTTGCTGGAATAAGACATCCAGTGTTTTTTCTCAATTTACATAAAATCTGTCAAGCTAAGTGTTCTACATACATTTATTGACCTGCATCTTAAAAGCGCTTTGCGTGATACTGAATGAACACAGTCCTATAAATCTGTATGCAGGAATACATTTCCATTCATAAAGGAATATTACCCAAGCCCTCAAGTAAAAAGCTACCTATGTTTTATTTTGTACAATTAGATTCCTAGTTCTCTGAATATAATCATGAACAGGAGCAATAAATGAAACAAGTTTCAAACCAATGTAAATTCTTTCTACTCTTGTTAAAAAATAAAAAAATCAAACATCCTGATACACACACACAACATTTCCAACACCATTTCCCACTCTAAGTAATATAAGATGTGGGGCTACAATTTAATATCTATTCAGAGATATATAAATTAAAAATATCACATTCTCATATTATATTTGGGAGACAACTTCATGTTCTCCTCGATAGAATTTCAATGCTGTGCTTTCAAATTGCACTTCAAAATATTTGTAGTTCTTAAAACATGGTAGCTAACTGGGCTGACAGTTCTTAGCTGTCAAGAACAATTTTAGATGTGATCCCCTTTCTGTTCAATGTGTGATTATTTTAATAGTACGTGGAGAACAGAGGTATATAGCTCTTTATCAGGTATACATTGGTGAAGATCTGGTTTTTCAACTGGACACAAGTGTAATACCCATGGTGCAATGAGAAGTTAAGAACACAGATAAGATAGCCTGCAACATGAATGAGCTTTATTTAAGTTCAGTTGTGATTACATTGCCACCTCTGCTTTCACTGGTGCCCTCATGCATTTCTTTTCCTTTAACCTAGTGAGTATTTTTGTAGATCTCTAGAATTTTCTTGGGATATCTCCTGGTTCTCAGTGTAAATATACTTGGAATAAAATAAACCCAACAATGTTATCTATAACTAAATGATTAATAGGAATCTATGATAATATTTTTGAAATGAAAATTGAATTTGTATATAGAATATATGCTCTTTCTAGATATCTAAGTAAACTTTAGAAATATTTATTCATTATCAGTGTGTATGAAATAGTGTAGATGTTTCCTTGAATTCAGTTTTTTTCCTGTTGGCATTGATATTAAGCATGTAATGCTAAGTCATTTCAGTCATGTTCAACTCTTTGTAATGCTATGGACTATACAGCTCACCAGGCTCCTCTGTCCATAGGATTCTCCAGGCAAGGATACTTCAGTGGGTCATCTTGCCCTCCTCTCGGGGATCTTCCTAACCCAGGGATTCAATCCGTGCCTCTTAAATCTCCTACCTTGGCAAGCGGCTTCTTTACCACTGGTGCCACCTGGGAAGCCCTAAGCATGTAACTAATGCCTTGAATAAAAAGATCTACAAAACAAATTCTCTCTTTCCTGATCAAAATAATTGAGGAAATTCATTCAGAAGCCAGCCATGAAAATTAAAAAGATATGATCAAGCCAAATTTTGCAAAAATATGCAGAGTTCTATTGTTAAGGGGCCATAGAACCAGTCTAATGTGATTAACAGATATTGCCAAACTATTATTTAGTAAATTAACTGAAATAGTAGTAAACATGATGTGAGAAACATGCAGGGCTTCACCCATCCTTATTTATCTAGAGTAACTTTCAAACTTAATAGTTAACTAGTAGTGTATATTTCTGCTTCCTAAGTTCAGATGGTTTGTTTTTTAGTTATGTGTGTTTGCTTACTCAATAATCACATACAAACTTAAAGCCAGTTAACATTTTGTATAATCAGATGTCTGTAATAAAATATTTTCATCAGTTAGTTGAAGCATACCCATTAGTAGTAGTGCAACCTACCTAAGGAGTACAATTAAATATTCTTAAGTGGCATATCTGTAACTTCTATTTTTACTTGGAGGATAAAAGACTAACTTCTTAATAGTCCTAATCTGATTTGGTCTATTTAGTCTGATTTCATATTTATATCAAGAATTAGAAAACAATGAATTATTAAGAAGTTCTCCTGAATTATACCTGGGTTTTATACTTTGAGTTAGTTCAAGACTCTTACATTTTGAAATTTAGATTTAATGGTATGTAACTCATAACTTGATGATCTAACATAAATGTGTCTTTATGTGCTGTGTTTAGGTTGAGAAGTAAAGATTACTGTTGTTCAGGTACAATCAGGAAAATGAGTAGATAGCAAAGATGTATGTAAGTAACTAAAATTATTTATATATACATATACATATATATATATATATCACTATGTTCGCTTGAGAAGAGTCCCGTATTCTGATTCTCAAACTGGTTATTTAGAAAATCTCTAAGCAAGCATCAACAGATTTCTGAATACATATTTTCCTTTGATAAGTTAAAAGTAATATTAACATACTATCAGGTATTCTATGTTTAAAAATGTAACAAATTCATTGACCTTCTTGGCTCATAAAGTTTTGACATCAGTACTATGGGAGGACCGTTTCCATAAATGTATGTGAAGCCCTTTATGACTCATTACATATGCATATGAAGTTCATAAAGTAATGATATGGGTATGCCACATATCGAATTCTTATCTTCATGCAACTGTGATTAGTTAGAATAATATTTTCAATCAATCTCTCTTCTATTTACAACTCCACTATTCCATTTGTAATGAAGTTAACATCTTCCCAAGTTGTAAACATCTTCCTAGTTAAACAAAATTAAACATTTAAATAGAAGCACATTCTTCACATCTCATTCTTTGTAGATTAATTTTGTACAGGAGTATTTAACTGTAAAGCTCTAAAATCTAGGATAAATCATAAAAATAAAAGTCAGAACTTGAATCTGAAATCCAGGATGGTTTAGTTATTCATTTCAGATGTGAACTTGGCAAGTCACTTCTCCTTGGCACTTGTTTTCTTCATCCATAGAGTGAACCTGCTGGCCTAGTTTAGTGGTTTTTTACTTTTCAGACAGAAGCCTCTTCTCAAACAATATATATATATATATAATCTCAACATGTCTAAAAATGAATGCTATTAATGGAGCTTTTCTTAGGGAAGAAGCCATGAGGAAGGAGGACAGTGGGGTGGGACTGAGTGACCCGAGAGTCCAACCCTGTATGCTGCCTGTCCCCTTCCCGCATAACCTATTGAAGATGCTCTAGTCTACACCAAAGAATCCCTCAGATGCCATGGATGCATTTTGAAAATAATGTGACTCTATGATTTTTACATTTCTTTAAAATTCCAAAATAATGTAATCTCAATTACGTAAATTGATATTTGTCTGTTAAAGCCATGAGAATCCTATCTTTAAAAAACAAATGATATATGAAAATATAAGTTGGTTTTAATCTATGATAAGAAGGATTCTAAGGTTAAGAGCCCACATTTCATATTAAAGCCTCGGACTTAAGTATTCCATAAAATTGCTCTATAATGCCACCACATAGTTCATATTTAGGAAATGAATAAATTGATAAAATGTGAAGTAACCTTTTAAGATGCAGAAAATTACAGAAGTCTTTTAGCTAAATTTTTATCCTCTTGCCCATCTGTATATTTTACTAGCAGAGATGAGAAAGAAAAATTTTTTTTGATCAACTCAAAGGCAGAATGTGCTATAAAATGAAGATTCTTCACTCCCCGGCTTTGGTTACCAGAAAGTAAATGCTTGTCAACACATGTGTACAACTAATAGATTCTTGATATCATAGGAGGTGGAGCAATGGAAAATGAGGGAGAAGAGAGCACCTTGTACAAAATAGTTAATTGCTCAGGAAAACAAAAGCCTGCAGGAGACAGAGTTCCTCACAAGGGGTCATTTTTTTTGCCAGTTAGTGAAATGAATATGATGGATGTAAGGCAAGTGTAATAGGTTTTCGCTGTGACTAGTTTCTAGTGACCTTTATGAGCAAGGGTTCTCTTCTACCTCACATTAAGACAAAGCATAAAAGTAAGTTTTCAGTAATCCCCAAAGGACTCAAAGTGGATCTGTCCCAGCAGTTACCTTACATAAATTCTGTGACAGTTCACCTCCCGCAAGAATCGAGTGTAGATCATAACTTTCCCACAGCCCGGTAAAGAGACCTGCTTTACCACGCTTCAGGGAAGTTAACTTTCTAGATCTTGAAGTGTCTTTCTGGAACGTGAAGTCATGTGTGGTTTTCTTCCAGCAGCGCTTGAACTCTCGTATTTTTTTTAGGTCCGTGGGGCCGATGCATGGGAGACGGATGTGGCCCAGGAGGCATTCAGACCCGGGCAGTGTGGTGTGCGCATGTGGAAGGGTGGACAACATTGCACACCAACTGCAAGCCGGCCGAGAGACCCAGTAACCAGCAGAATTGTTTCAAAGTCTGTGACTGGCACAAGGAGTTGTACGACTGGAGGCTGGGCCCGTGGAATCAGTGTCAGCCGGTGATTTCAAAGAGCCTGGAGAAACCCCTGGAGTGCGTTAAGGGAGAGGAGGGCATCCAGGTGCGGGAGATAACGTGCATCGAGAAGGAGAACGATGTCCCTGCGGAGGACATCATCTGTGAGTACTTCGAGCCCAAGCCGCTCCTGGAACAGGCCTGCCTCATCCCCTGCCGGCAGGACTGCATCGTGTCCGAGTTTTCCGCCTGGTCGGAGTGCTCCAAGACCTGCGGCAGCGGGCTCCAGCACCGGACGCGTCACGTGGTGGCGCCCCCCCAGTTCGGCGGCTCGGGGTGCCCGAACCTGACGGAGTTTCAGGTGTGCCAGGCCGGCCCCTGCGAGGCCGAGGAGCGCGGCTACAGCCTGCACGTGGGGCCCTGGAGCACGTGCTCGATGCCCCACTCGAGACAAGCGAGGCAGGCCAGGAGGCGCGGGAAGAGTAGAGAGCGGGACAGGGACCGCGGGAAAGGGGTCAAGGACCCAGAGGCCCGTGAGCTGATCAAGAAGAAGAGAAACAGAAACAGGCAGAACCGCCAGGAGAACAGATACTGGGACATCCAGATCGGATACCAGACCAGAGAGGTTATGTGCACGAACAAGACGGGGAAGGCTGCTGATTTGAGGTAAGGTATTTCTCTGCCAAGACCACGTGTTAGAGAGCCTTTAAGACCTGTGGTTGGAAGTCCTGAAATTCGTATGTGTGTCCACCTGGCTGAGCCACCCCCAAGGGGGCATTTTTCATTTTAAGGCACTTAAATGTTTGTGGGTTTCCTGAAGTTATTTCTGTTTTGTTCATACTTAGGCACTCTACCACTAGAGTTCATTTAAATTTTCCTGTCAAAATCTAAAGCTTAGGAGATTCTCTGTGAGATGATACTGCTTCTTTAAGTCAGCAATGCTATTTTCCACCTATAAGAAGGGAAAAAAGAAGACTTACATAAAGGGCTGGAGTTTAGGAATGTTCAATTCAGGTACTTATTTTAGTGAAACTAAGGCACGCTTGCAGTTTCTAAGTTTATAGCATTTTCAGAGTTACCCTATAAACAAAATTTAAACCACCACCCAGGGAGCTATTTGTAAGAATAATTCCTTTCACATTTTATAAAATGGAATAACTTTCCCCAGAGAAGAAAAGGGGGAACCAGCAGAAAATAAGGTAAGGAGAAGTTATTTAATCATGAGTAGCTTAGTTTAGAAAACATGTAATTAATTGGCTGCTTTGTCTAGACAGAAATTATTTGTCAAATTATCTCTGGGTAAACAAAGACTGTATTATGAAAGACTTTCTCATGTATGATTTATTTCTTGTGAAAATATTCATTGAGGATTATCTGAAGGATATGAGGTTCTCTGGATATTCTAAATTTTGCTCTTGGATAAGCCAGACCATCTGGGAGTGGCTTATCTGGATCATTTGCATAATTGCTTCTTCTGAAATATTTATGCAGCTATGATTTGGAGTGAACTGAGAGAAATTATGGTAACATCACTCAGAATTTTATATCATATTTATTGTAGAAATGACATTGAAAGCATCATCTCCTCCATCACACAGTCTGTTCTCTTGATTAAAAACACATAAGGTAAATTTCACAGAAGTCTCCATACATGTGCTTCTGGTGAGCATCTGGATCGTTTTCCTTATGGCCCCTGGAAATCTTGTAATAGATCACGTTTTCCTGTTTACTTTGGCTCCTGAGACTGTAAATAGGACTGTGTGGCATGCCTATTATTTACTAACCACTGCCTCCCCATCCCCCGCCACTGGCTTCTTTTTCTTCTCATCCTGATTATTTTCCTTCATTCATTCTTGTCTAATGATTTTACTGTCTATGGATTTTGAAAACTGACTGAAAGCCTTTGTGAAGCAGGATACAATTGAAATAAGTGAGAAAACAGACAATTGATATATCTGCCTAAGACAGTTTCTCTCATCATAGTGTTGTTCTGGTTGCTATTTTTAGGATAATTGCTACTCCCTTTTTTTTAATTACACAATTCTATTTTCTTTCAGCCATACAGTAATTTGCTCTTTCTGTCTATTCAGAAGTTGTTTGTCCAGCTATTTTTCTGGTCCTGCTAAAGTATACTTCTCCTGCCTTCATTACCCAGGTTCCCTATAACCTCTTGTATGTGTGTGTGTATGTATGTGTGTATTCACCTCTGATGCTGTGTCGTGTACATTTTCAGTTCATTCTCTCTTTTTTTCTTTTCTGACAGACCTTTTCCTGGTGATTTCCTGATCTCTTTTCCTAAAGTATTAGTTATATTAGTTATTTGACTCCCACCATTTAATTGAATGAGCCTCCAAGGCAACTTGAGCTTTCTTCTGCTGTCACTGGGTTAATATGCTGTAGACATTTAATTTCATGTTGACTACTGAATTAAAAGTATAATTAGAATAGTAGCTACCACTCCATGGAACCTGATATTCCCAACCAGTTATTTGGAAGTAAATAGATTTAAAAATCTGTAGATCTGTCAGGTTCTTATTTCATTAGACATATCATATCTATTCCAATAAAATTACAGTTGCATGTATGTTGCAACTTACTTAGTTTATACTAGAGTATAAATTAAACTTTATGTTAAAACAACTTGCTTCATAATATTTCTCTTATTTGAAGACTATACAGATTATATGAATATCTCTGGTTAAGAGAGTTAGTTTTAAAGAAGAGACAACAATTAGATATTTTGCCTACATTTTTCTCAAGCATTACATAATATCAGTAAAGTTAATAAAGTGTGAAGAGTAGATGGATAACTCCAACAAAGAACAGGGCCACAGGTGCAAGACTTGATGATTAAAGTGTTTCATCTTACATCAAATTCAGAAACCGTTTTATTATGTAAGAGAATAAAAAGTTATTTAGTAAAGCTAAAAAGGCCTATTACAAAACTTAAATAAACTTAGCTAAATAAATCTAAGAATCTTTGGTAACGCAGTTCATAGCATAAATAAAAATTTTAGTAGAATTGCTGCTAGAACTTCAAAGCTAAAGATGATAAATTTGCTTTCTGCTTTAAACAGACTAAAATCAATAAGGATGAAAAACGTGAGTGAAAGTCCATCTTTTATGACACTGGGAGACAATCACAGTCCCAAACCATAATTGATAGAGAAGATTTGGCCACTGCAGTGAAATTAGATCTAACTGAGAGAGGACAATTAGAGAGGGACATCATGTTGTTACATCTTTCATGAGCACTTAGAATCTCTAAGAGTAGCTTGAAATTTCTGAGGTGCCAAGTCAATGACACATCTTACAGTGGCATGAACTGTGTTAGTGAAAGGGCTGCTGGAGCATCCTTGGGTTCTGTTTGAAAGCAGAATGACCTAATAGAAGGACTGGAGGAAACTCGGTATGCCATTATTGCTAAGAAAAGACTCTTAGTTTGATGGACTAGGGGGTTAAAATTTTGATGACCAGTAGAAGAGAGTTATAAAGCATTGCACACAGCATGACATAGGGGGCTTCCTTGTGAACCTGTGATTTCCAGCCGGGCTTGAATAGAGTCTTAACCTAGGTAAAGAGTTGTTAGGAAAGTATTGACAAACAGCTCTTCAAGAAACCAAACATATTAAAGGAAATACGGTCTTCTGAATCAAAACCAGAAGTTTAGTGATCACAGAAGAGTCAAGAAAATAGAATTTTAAAACTGATTTGTCAGAGCTCAGAAAAGAATTGTAAAACAGGAAAGTCAAATTTATATTGCATACATTGGTACAAGGTGTCAGTGAGATGGAAAACAGTTTAAGAACATCAAGTAAACTCCAGTTTAAAAAAAAAAAGATGTTGGATATGGAAACAAAAGAGATCTGTATATGAAATACTGGGATTCCTCAAGATAAGACCAGGAAAAAAATTAGATCAGAAAAAGGAAAGCAAAAGAAGATAAACCCTCTGAAATATAATCTAAGACTTTCCTGAGCTTGAAAATCTTTAATCCACAGACTGAAATTGCAAAGGGCCAATATTCTGCTAGGGGAGACTGAAATAATGTTCTCGTGGAAGAACTAATACAGAACAATTTTATGATGAGGGATAGACAAAGAGACACCAGACCAAAAAAACAGAATAATACTCAACTCTGAAACATTAGAAGCATTTCCTTTGTAGTGAAAAATAAGATAAGGCAGCACATTATCTCCACTGTTAACATTGATCTGTCAGTACTAGTCAATGTAGTTAAAAAGAGAAAGAAGTTGAAACTGGAAAGCAGGTGGAAATACTAAGATTTTTTCTAGACGTTTTAGAAAACTCAAGATATTCAATTGAAAAAACAGTATAAACAATAACATACCTCAATAGGATGGATGGACACAAGGATAATATCCCCAAATCAATATATCTCGTGGATGCAAACTGCAATTAGCTAAACATGATAGAAACAAAGTACTAAAACATCCCATTTACAATAGTAAAAAAATATGTAAATAAACCTACTTATAAAATTTCTGCACAGAGTTCCAGACTAGGAAAGGTGCAAAATAAAATGTGTGCCTGTCCAGAACATCTAGTAAATATATCAACTGTCCCTACAGTGTTACTGTAAAACAAATGAGAAAAGTAAATAGAAGCCAGGAAAATTCTGAAAAATCAAAGTAGAGAGCAAAGACTAATGTCACCAGATAATTAAATGCATTTTATTCTTTGAATAATAACAATTTTATGTTAGTGCATGAACAGTCAGATCAGAAAAGAGTCTAGAAAAAAGATCCTCAAAACCCTACAATATGGTGTGGGTGGTGAAGGAGCATTTCAAGCTGGGGGAAAGATACAATGTAATGTTTGTTTTGTTTTGTGGGCAATTGCTGTGCCCTGTAAAGAAGAAGTGGGGAGGGCAGAAAAATTGTATCCCCTTTTCAGTTGTATCCCAAAGTCCAGGTTCATTTAATATTTAAAAATGTTCTCTTTTTAAATACTTGAAGAAAGGATAGAATGCTAAAATCTTAAAATAAGGAAGGATGCCTTAGGCCACGGAATCCAGAGGGACAGGAAAAGATTGATCTATGCTATTTATTGGAATAAAGAAAACTTTGCTTGGGAAAAATTGTTATCAGTTAATATCCAAATAGATAACCCCCCCAAAAAATATTTGTGGTATGTAAAATTGACATAGAGCTAGTTTTCTTAATGCTAAAGAACTCCTACAAATCATTAGGGGAAAAGTCCAAAATCTAATGTGGAAATTGACAAAAGTTCAAGAGAATGAAAAGACAAACCACACTGAGGAAAACATCTGCAAGACACATTTGATAAAAGGCTGCTGTGCAAAATACGTGAAGAACTCTTAACACTCAGCAGTAAGCAAACAAATTTCTGGATTAAAAAATGCACCGAAAACCTTTAACAAACACTTCACCAAAGAAGATATACAAATGGCAGACAAGCGTATGAGAAGATGCTGCATGTCATACGTCATCCAGGAGATGCAAATGAAAACAGTAATGTGATAACACCACAGACCTATTAGAATGGCCAAAGTCCAACACACGGACAACACCAAAAGCCGGTGAAGATGTGGGGCAGCAGGAACTTTCCTATATTGCTGTGGTACAGCCATGTTGGAAGACAGATTGACAGTTTCTTAAAAACCTAAGTATGCTCTTACCAAA